TTTTTTTTTTTCAAAAGGACCCCTACTACAGCTACTATAAATCAGTGCAACTCCCTTGGTTTTTAAATTGATTTAGACCAGCTGGATTCTAAGAGCTTATCTATATGTCAATGTCTTCCTTTGCATCTCACCTTTCTTTTAGAAAACAGGGTTGTTCACATAGGCAATGCCTTCATATTTATTTCTGTGGGCACCAGGAGCATTGCTGACAATTTGTTTGGTTTAGATAGTCCTCTTCTTGGTATCACAATACTCCGTGGGGCATTTTGCCCAAAAATCACTAATTACACTTCACAAGACTCTTTTAACCTAATCTAACATGTGGAATGTGAGTCGTGGGGGCCACGCTTGCACACAGGGAGTAGCACTTTACTCAGGAAATGGGCTTAGTGATTCAAGATGAGTAAAGGTGGCAGAGGAGGCCTGTGAGCGAGCTGGATTTGCTCTGTGTCACAGGGCTCACCCCAGCACGGTGACAGAGCTCAGCAGGCCCTGCTCAGACATCAGACACACCGACACTGTTATCCTTGGGCAGCAGCCACACCACTCACGTCTTTAAACAATCCCTGGTTCACGTTACAGAACACAAAGGGGGTCATCTCACAGGGAAACAATTCCCTGTGCCTGGCACACTCAGGCACAAGGCACAGCCAGCAGGTACAAAAACACAGAGGACTTACTATGCTGGGCATGGATTGGTGTTGCATAGTTTTGTTTCAGTCAAGGGCTTCATCCTTGGGCCGCAAAGGGAGGTGTTGACTCGTACACGATGATCTTCCAAACAAATTGCTTTTGCTGTAATGTGTCCTGGGGAAGCATTCGAAAAAAAATTACACTACAGTAAACATTTATTCAAAATGTAAGAGAAAAAGTAGTAGGCAACAATTTTAATTAAACAAGCCCAAGCTCATCCTTGGTACAATTCCACTGACTTCAACTAACTAAAATAGGTTTTTATCCAGCAACATGTTTTTAACATTGATTTCCTGCTTTGTACTATTGCAGTCAGATGAAAATTTGAGTTATAAGCAGCATATTTGCAGAATCTTCCCTCAGCAAAAGTTAGTGATTCTTCAGATCTTAATTCTCTGCAGACACTAGCAGGGCTTGTTTAGAGCCCTCCTCATGCACTTACAAACTGCAAATAGACATTCTGCACACGTTTTACAGTATATGTTTACAGACTCCAGAATTCTGCAGGTTCCTCTACCTACACTCAATCTAGTGTCAGCATCAGGACAGGTTACAGAGAAGACTGCAAATGCCTTAAGAGATGAAGTGATTTTCTAGATTTATCTTTTAACTGAGATCTATCATTCACCTCACACATGGTTCATTTGGCACAGTGAGTCGAATTTGGAAGCACAGTTGTTTCCATCATTTTTATATTCATGCTGCAACCTTTTAAAGGGAAGGAAGAAAATACAGCTGTCATATTTTAGGGCTGCAGTGCTCCTGGTGGCTCTTTCTTCCATGAACTGTTTACTGAGATGCTGTGAAGTCTGACAACACTCTGGCAAGATATTCCTGAGGTTCACCTGGATGGACTATTTTGCCAATACAGGAGCACAGCGTGGCACTTCCTTCATTACCCAGTCCTGTTCTCTGGTATTAAAGACTTCCCACATGCCAGTTTTCTGCTTTCATTACTTTCACTGACAGAACATCCAGGATTCAGAAAAAACAAATAGATGGTCTGTGCAAAGCAAGAGGAACATGGCAATAGGAACTCCTTAGCTTATATGGAATTTCAGACTTTGACCTGGCAGCATTAAAATATTGGTAATTAAACAGTGAGAAGATTTGGTGCAACTTTCAGTGAAGGTCTTGATAATATCTTAGTCTTTTGTTGCTCTCCACAGATAGAATAGATTTTCCTCATTTTACCTAATTTACCTCGATTCAGGATCTTTCAATGTTCCCCAACTGCAACTTCAAAGCACATATTTAATTCCCACATTACTTCAACATCAAGATTATCATATGGATATGGATTGACCTAAACAAAAAAGACTGAGTCATAGTGACATGAATTGAGCCTGGCATGGATTTTTTTTTTTCTTTACTATAAAGGAAGTACAAAGGTACTTCATCTGTGTTCTAAATTGTCAGGTAAAAAAATAAGGACCAGGTGTTCGCTGTAACCCCCTGTATGTATCAACACACATTTGCAAAATTAAAGGCAGCTGAAGAGTTTGAGATGCTTTAAAAAAAATTAAACAGAAGAGGCTTGGCAATTGGAAAGTTACCTACCACCACCACAGGTAGCTGAGCACTCAGACTGCACTGTCACCCAGGAGTAGCTGTGTTTTCTGACAGATGTCTTGTTTTCAATGTTGGTTTTGGAAAATGTATATTCCCAAGCAATCCCAGGATTTTTGCCTTGTAACAGGATCTACAGAGGGGTATTTAGGGGTTGTTAAAAAAAAAAAAAAGGGAGGGAGTAAAAACAGCATTCTGTCAGTCTGAAGGAAGATGAGCTAAACATGATACAAACACAGTATACATATACACACCATGCTTGTGAAAGGATTTTTAGGCTGGCCATCAAAGCAATAAACACCAAAGTGTTGCTTGGACTTACAGCTGTCTGTAAAGGAGTGCAGAAACACATGGTCCTCCTGTAAATCAGGGGGCACCTGACTGGGTTGGTGAAGCAGCAATGCCTTCAGCACACATGGAATATCACCCAAAGGCTCCTGGCACTGCACTATTTGTGCTGCCCCCCGTGCAGCTCTCAGTGCTCTGCTCCTGGCCCTGACCCAGTTGGTCCCTGCACTCACTGGGAACCCACTGGCAGGGGCTGGAGTTTATCCACAGGAGATGGATTTGGGTTTTGGGGGTGGGAGACATTTCCTCTCTTTCACTAAGCAAAGTCCAGGCTGATCTTTCCACAATGACTTGTATGAAGGAAGAAGCTTTGCCCATTACGGAGGACTCAAAACACTTCACTACAAGAAGCAAAGCAGCAGGAAAGCTGTGTGGGGTTGGGAGCAGAGGTGGTTGGAGATGGCTTCCTCAGTTCTTGAGGCTGAGGGTATAAAACAGAAGTTTCTTTCTTGTAAAAAAACTCTCTTCTATGCAGAAAAATTTTTTATGCAGATAAATTTTGCTTGGAAGACCCTCAGCTGGTATTTTTCTCATGATGATTGAAGCTGATAAAGCTTCAGTCCAGGAGAGAACCTGTCCTTGAGTGTCTACGGAGAAAGGATTGGAAAAATCTTTCACTTCATGACTTCAGCATAATGTGTTAGGAAATTTTCAGAAAGTGTGATTACTGACTATAATAACAATCTTTGTCATTCAATTCAAGAGCCCAGCTCTCAAGGGTGTACTATTTTAGTGGTGAATTATATTGCAGTTTTCATGCAGGCAACTTTCTAAAATTCAGTTTTCATTTCAAGGCTGAATTATAATCAATGCAAGATGCACGAACATCTGACACACACCTAAATTTGGGGAGAAATTTCTACTTAATGACATTTATTTTAGAAACGTTTTGGCAGCAAAGTGCATTTATATTCATACTTAATAGAAACACTGCAAGAGTTTACAGTTACAGAGCTCTATGGATCTTGTCATACTAACATAAAGAGCAGGTGCAGTTAACCTCAGCTCCTAAATATGCTTTTTGATAAGCATTAGCATTTCAAGTATAATTCAAGTCTATGTTAATGATTGCCATTCAAAACATTAATAAAGTTAAGTTCACATGATGTCTGACCCGAGCACTTAAGCAATCCATATAAATAGAACTGATCTCTGTATAGACTGATTTCATAAAAAAGCAACTAACTCGCATTTATGTTGTTTGAGACACAGGAATATAATAACATTTTGAAACCTAGCCATGGGTTTTAAAGTATTCTGAAAATGTACCTATTGGAAACCAGAAATTGCCCATGACAGTGAAAATTCAGACCAAATTTACGTGACCTCCAGCTCAATAATGTTGAACACATGAAGGACCTGGACTGCATACTGTTTACTTCTGTAGAATAAAGAAAAATGGATGCTGTATTTTCCATTTTTAGTAGCCAAAGACTTGATTTCAGTCAGGGAACCTCAATAATGATCCAGACTGAGAATACAGCAATTAAGGCTTCAAAAGGCAAAATACTTCCAAAAGAATTGAAGAGTACGTGTCTCCTCAGGGCAGGATTCAGATTAGAAGCTCCTTCAAGCCCAAGTAAATGGAACTATTAGATGTGAATATTTTCATCTCACTCATCCAAGCTTAATTCATGAGCACCTTAGAATACCTGTGAGATTATGGAAGAAATAGATCTGAGAGTAGTTGCTGACCTCTTTATTTTTACTGAAAATTCTTGGTAGAAATGGTACGATGGGATCTGCTTTAGGGGTAAGTCACAGACACAGGTGTATCTCACAACTATTTTACAAGAACAGGATTAAAATTGAACACTCTGAAATTAGGAGAAGTTAGAATTGAGACTGCTGTGAAACTCCTCACTGCCCTGCAGGGATGCACCCCAAATCTCTGGATCTCCTGCTGGCTTCCCAGAAACCCTCTACCACGTTCAGTACTCCCAGCACATGGTACCCACTAATGAGCACATCACAGAGCTCCTATATCTGACTTTAGGCTCATTCCTCAATGTGTGGTTCTGTGTCCTTTTTGCTGTACTCTGTTCAAACCATTCCCAAGTGTAACTTTCTTCAGGACCTTTCTTTTCTCCTTGAATATTCATCACTATCTGATGTAAATGTTTTATAAGATTTAACAGCCCCTTAAGATGAGGGAAAACATCTCTTCTACCTAAAATTTTTATTTTTAGAAAGCTATCAGACTGCTGATAGCAGAAAGTCCAGCTCTGTTAAAACAGCTGTTCCACTTTGAATCTTGAACCCCAAGTCCATGGGCACTAGAGTTTCCAGGTAAAACAGGGTGCAATAACCTGTTCACTCTACTTTCTTCTCTCAAGGACAAATTGAGACAAATATCTAAAATGTAAAGTTTCAGAACATGTGCTTTAGGAAAAAAATGGGGGTTGTTAACTGTAGTAAGAATTGAGCCCTGGAAAACTATTCTTCAATTAAAACAATTCCTTCTTCTTACAGACCAGACCTCAAAATGTTTCAATTTGCTTTTACTCATCCAAAGGTCCTACGAGTCCAAGGTATTAGCACAGATCTCAGCATCTCAGGCAGCCAGAAACACTTTCTCCCATTTCAGTAGGTGCTCTGTGTTCCTTCAAGCCCAGAGACTGAAATTCTGTCTGGCCTTTTAATGCACAGTGTCAAAAGAGGAGGAGGTTTTGTCCACACCACAAAACCTCGTGTAAGGGTTAGTCCTCATCTCATTTCATTCTGACAACCGTCATAAAATTGTGCTGTGTCAGTGGCCAAAACCCCAGTAAAGTTTAAAACCTTTCTAATAAAAATATCTTGAAGCATTAGACTGAACATTTGTCTTCTGAAAGCACTCATTATTTTGTGACAGTAGAGGCAAGGAACAGAAAGAATGCATCCAGAACACAGAATTCAGAACAGGAGAAAGGGAGGATGAGAAGGTAAAAGCGGCAAAAGGTTTTACTCCTGTTAAAACTGTTTTCTCCTGATGCTTCACCTGAGTGTAGGGAATGAAGAGGAAATGATCTCGGACAAGTCAGAACAAGACACCTCAGTATCTATCACTTCAGAGAACAACCACACAGGGGTGTAAGGAACTCACAGCCTCCAGCTGGGTGAGTGCCTGGGGGGTGAACCCTGGCAAGTTGGACCATATGTATTTTAAGACCTTGGGCTACACCCCCTCCTTGCACATTGGGAAATAGCCACAATTATAACAGGCAGGTGAAGGGAACTTCCTCTCCATTTCCTGGCTGGCAGCCAAAGCTGGAGCCCCTTCCCACCCAGCAGACCGCAAGAGGGAACGTTTACCGAGCAAGAGCTGCACCACAGTCAGGTGTCTGTCCTCCTGTATCATCCCAGCTACGTAGAAAAAAGGTAAAATCAAACTATGGAATAGCACTGGAAACAAAATATTGCAGGGCACAAAACCATATGCTTTAAAGTCCCTGGCACTCAGCTGAAAAATAGTATATTATGTATAATGTTCAACCAGGTTTTCATCAGGAATGCAATACTATTGCAAAGTTGCAATTTTGCCAAAGTAACGAGCATATAAAAAGTTTTCTATCGTATTTTCAAACATTCATTATAAAGCCCTTTCTTAACAACCCAATAACTGAAGTCTGCATATTCAGCCAAGTTATCAGACCTACAAATTTGGAAAGACCTCCAGTGCTAGTCTACTTAACTGGACACATTCCAGCATCTTTTCAGCCAACTGGCATTTGCTCCCAAATTTACAGCTGGCAAACAACCTCCTTAAACATTTCCAGTTCCTCAATAGAACTGTTTAATGTCTACCTTTAACACACCAACCACCTGACTTCAGACACAACACTCAGCAGCTCTGACCGCAGGGCGCAGAGTTATAAAATTTACAGCTTCTTGAGTTGGAAAACCACAGGCTCTACGGCTGGAATCCGCCGGATCTATCCCCAAGAAAAAGAACTGTGGCTTTTGCTTAGGGCACAAAATGTTAAAACAATGGATAAATTGAACTCTCCTGAGTAAAGAACCTTTTCCTTTTGCTGCTAATTTTGATGTGAGAGCTAAACCAATAAATTCTCCAAACTAGCTGTGCATCTGCTCCTTTGTTTGAGATTTTATTTTTTTCCCATGGCCATCCTAAGTTTCCAGTATAATACCTCTATTTTGCAGGCAGATTTTTAAAGAGTCTACCAGTGTTGCTTTGTTATGATTGACTCAGTCCTTTTCAGGGTTTTTTACTGTAAGATGTGTATGTGAAGTTACTTGCAGCACGCTGAATTAAGACAGATTAATTTACGCAAGCTAAATTCCTCTTTCTTCCACAATATTTTGTCCAATGTACAGGAAAGCATACTAGTGCCTGGCTTGTAACAAGCCTAAAAAAGACTCATTAGGTCTGTGGAGGACTAACAGACATTTAGAAATCACTTATAGAGTGAAGATGAGCATAGAGAAAGGAGCCACATTCTGCATGTGCCCAATTTACAAAATGGGCATGAGCCCCAACTTTGAATCCCAGCATCCGTGGGAGCTTTTATCCGTGTCCTCAAATTGCAGCTACACTTCCTGGGTCAGTCCCATGCTTTGTAAGTCTTTGAAAATTTCTTTAGGGGGATGTAGCAAGTTAATCTGTCTGCATGAGGGCAGATGGAGAAGTTTGTGTGGAAGACAAGTGCCTGGTGTGCTCTGCTTGAGACCTGCAGCTTTCATCCCCTGTGGAAGTACACACTGTTCAATAAATATTGTAACATCCAACATCCTAAGCCAGATTCCGATTTCTCTGTTCAGTCAAGATTAATTCCATTGACTTCT